AAGTAGCGTGTACTTTCTGTGCGGCATATCCGGCGACATGAAGAAATACGTTGCACTGTACCTTCTCGTCTTTTGTCGTGACACCACTAGCAATTGCATAGATGTCGTATGCTCTGAGCCAGTTCTTGTAGTTCTCGTGAATGTTGCCTTCTAGCTGGAGCGGTCCTGGAGCTTTCAATCCCGTGGTCATTGTTGCAACATCCCGGTTCTGACACCATGTAAAATTGACTGGTCGTGACTACTGTGACGCGATGTTGAAGACTGATCCTATTTATTCAAGACTTATCAATGACGTAATATAGATTAACAAATGAGCATCGGTACAAGCATGAATACATACATTACAGGTTATATTATATAGAAAATTATCATACATATATTAGAATAGTCACTATAGACTATATTGTAGAAAAATTGGGCTAAATTTTAAGATGCAATTATAGCAGAATATAACAGATGGCATGCAAGTAATAAATATGAGTACTATAAAATGACTAATTTTCACTGGGTTTAAATTTCACTGATTTACCATTTCAGGCATATTCAGTGGGTTTTAAATTCATGGTTTTATCTTTTAGATAATGTGTTCTATGCTAAATTTTACATATTCACTGGGTTTTAATTTAGCGCATTTTCCAGTCAGTGAAATAAGCAAAATTAAAACCCAGTGAATAGTTAATCCTTGTACAGTATATAAGTTATATAAGTATACATAATTCAGGTCAGGCAACTTGTGCAGGGGACCCAGAATTAAATGGTGCAGCTATGACTTATGAAATAAAATTTGCAGTACATGCTGACCTAATTACCACTGCTGGTCAAGGAGCTCATACAATATATGTATTATATAATCATCGCAGATATTCTCAGTTTAGTCTCATTAACGGATTTAATAATTGCATTTGATTTGTTTATTGCATTAAAACCTTTATAACTAATGAAATTTGTAATATATTACAACCGTGTGATGGACTTTGTCACCACTGTCATACTGACTTTGATCTCTCTAATTTTTCACTCTATGTTGAACCTAACTTTACCATGTGCAATCTATGTCTGTATGTTCAAGCCCAAATTTCCCTTTTTTCATGAATATTGCTGTCCATTGAATTAACACACAGGAAGTTTTTCTGAGCTGTCTTTGATTGTTTTTTATTTCAACATCTGTTGAAGAAATATTTATTTTGTTATTAAAAGCCAATGAGTGTACAACTGTTACATTACTACTATCATAGACCTTTTCCTGGGTCAACGATGTTATCAAAGTGGGCGTATAAACATTCAGCTAATCTTTTCTAAGGTCCATCATTCAGACGACTTGTTTTATTATTGAATTGTCAATATATTATTAAATTATATATGTACAATTGTTGGGAGCTCAAAGAAATGATGCTTGCAAGTGTGAATTTGGCACAGCTGGAATTAATTTTTGCTGAAAAGATTTTTTGGCTGTGCAGTATGGAGTTTATTTTCACTAATTTTTTTCTTCTGGTATCTAATATCATGACATCCTGGTATCTAATATCATGCCTATTTCATTTTTTTCTTCACAGTGCTTTAGTTTCATGAGACAAATGTTTACAGACATTTGTAGGAAATCAGTGTCTTTGGAAGCCACTGGGATCCTGGGGAGTGACTGACTTTTGCTAGAGTCTTAGAGAGTCACAGTGACTTTCACAAAATTCCCAGGTCATCCTCACAAAAGCCATTAAATTATTAAATCTCAAAAATGATTGACATTATTGCTTCATGCACAGTAAGCAGACAAATGACTAGAATTAATACAGTTTCTTTGTTGTGCATGAAACCAAATGTGCAAACAAAGGTCACAGTGATATCAAAACATCACATGGTATTTTGAGCGTATTTCCCTATATTATAAACATTTGATGTTGTCAATTTTGATTCACTAATTAAAGAGTATCTCAAAGATTTTGAAACCATGAAATTGGTTTTTATTCGAGTGTTTTTTGGTTTACCTAGGTTTGAATATGAGATTGCCTCTTTATACTAAGTACTGGGGGTATCTTGATTCTACTTTTTGCCAGTGACAGTAATACGCAGGAAAACTCTCAAAGTGGCTTGACTCGACTCGCAATATGACTTTTGGCGACTCGTAGGAAAACTCGCAAAGTGCCTCAAGAGATACCCATATATTAATGCAATTCCATGTAGTCATGCTATGAGGCATTTTATCATTAATTAAGCTATAAAAAAGAGAAATTGCATTTTATTTAATATACAAGATTTCATAGTATTATTGCTTCTGCATAACAATATGCAATTTTTACATTCCCAGGTTTATAATGGAATTACAGAACAGTTATGTTAATACAAAAAATGAAAGTTGCAAGGTAAAACTAGATTTCATTCCTCCTCCTCACATTGTTGTATTCAAAAAAGTGATACCTTTTATTATATATATTATATTTATTTATTACTGATACTCATCTAACGCAGAAAACAATAGGATTTACTGTTCTATATTAAGCTGTACTAGCATTCATCTGACCTTTCAACTTTCCCCTTATATGGAGCAGTATGTAATAAACTAGATTGGTTGATGTGTTTAACCACCAGACTTCGCACCCAAATTTGTCTGTACGTTTTTTCTTATATTTTTCAATTTTGGGAATTCGCATTTCCTGATATGGTAGAATGAAAATACCCTGTAAATTACTGCAAAATTACGACACGCTGTAACTTATGGCGTTATGGTGACAGATGTAGAATAATATCTATTATTATCTGTAAAATGTGTTTTTATATGTAATAGGGTAATTTTCTTTGCTGTTTTATTCAGTATGAAGCCCTTTCCCAAAAAAATAGCTACTTTCCAACATTTCTACAGTTGATATTTGTACTTATAATTGACAGATTTTCCATGATCCGGTCCATGGTCATATAGAACTTGATCCATTGTTAGTGAAAATAATCGATACACCAGAATTCCAGAGACTTAGAAATCTGAAATAACTTGGTGCTCTCTATCATGTGTTTCCAGGGGCTTCACACAATAGAATTGAACACTGTATAGGGTAAGTAGAATTGAACACTGTATAGGGTAAGTAGAATTGAACACTGTATAGGGTAAGTAGAATTGAACACTGTATAGGGTAAGTAGAATTGAACACTGTATAGGGTAAGTAGAATTGAACACTGTATAGGGTAAGTAGAATTGAACACTGTATAGGGTAAGTAGAATTGAACACTGTATAGGGTAAGTAGAATTGAACACTGTATAGGGCAAGTAGAATTGAACACTGTATAGGGCAAGTAGAATTGAACACTGTATAGGGCAAGTAGAATTGAACACTATAGGGT